AAGCAAATTCTGTGTTTCAGGCACGTACATAAATCTAAATCTCATCTCCATTGGTTAGGAGTTATTTTAATTCAATTCTTTATATCATTGGTACATTAATAAATTTGTTATTTTTTTTATATGTTCAACAAATGTTATATCTGGTAAGTTTTTTACTGTTAAAACTTGAAAAACATAAATAATAATGTCATAACTAGGAGTAATAAATAGTCTTATAAATATGTTAAACATGAAATTTTCTCTAAATCTAATTCATATTCATTGCTCAACTTCTATAAGTATTTTTGCACTTTCCCCTTCGTTACGTTGGACAATCCAATCTTAAAGCTCAATATCAATTTAAATCAGAGCTGGGCCTTCTCTTACGTTTCAAGCCCAATTGACGGTGAATCCTTCGGGAAAATTTCATATTCACGCTTTAATAAACTGTATTTGTGCATATACAATATATAATCTTAATCAAAATTGTGTGAATATCTTATCCCAACTGAAAACACGTAAATACAATATCTTGTGTATGTCTATGTTTTTAAAAAGTCGAAGTGGAATGTATGTGAAGAAATCAATTGTATATGTAGTCAATTAGATCCAATGAAGTATATGTTTTTTTAAACTGTATGTGAAGTGTACGGGGAACCAACATCTAAAAATATATGCTGCTTGTATATTATACATGTATGTCTCTCTATTGAGAGAATGCTCATTGCTAGAGTTTATAAATACACAAATACATATATCTTGTATATCTGTTATAAAAATATATAATATCGCTACATTTTTTTATAATAAAAATTTAGAAAAATAGCACTACAAAGAGTAACAGGGAGCCGAAACCGCTACAGAAATTTTCTCAATCCTTTTAGCTCATCGAGGCATATATAGTTTTACTTATCAAAAAAGGTGATCATGATTTTTGATAGTTTATTACTCTGTCCCATAATTTGACTTGTCAAGAGTTGAAATAAAAATTGGACTAACCTAACAAGTCAAATATAAAAAATTCAGTGGACGTAATTTTCAGCTGCTGAAGTTTCTTCTCTGTGTGAGCTGCAAAACTGCTATTATTCAGGTTATTAAATAAGTTCAACATGTATATTTCTTTGATTTTCTGATCTAGATCGGTGATAGACTGATTATTACTTTTATTTTTAAAATAAAATAAAAATTGTTAACAAATGAGGTTATTTTGGACAGTTTAGTTATCATAATCTATATATTATACTACATGCATTCTTAGTCAGCGTCCAGGTGTGTTTCACTAATCATTGAATGATAGTTCAAATAAGAAACTCACGATTTCAATAGTTCAGAAATGAAGCTTTAGTATTTTTGACTCTTGACTTTTTATTTTATTTTATGTATAATAATATATGTTATGGACAATCAAACACTGTATTATTATGCTTTATATATGAAAAACCAATTAAAGGCTCCTAATTGTATTACTTACTAGCTAATTTCTACATTATTAATTCATAACATCACTATTCCTTATCTATTTTGTGTAAACCAAACGGCCAGGATAAGTATTGAACTACTGAAGATTAACCAAGTAGTTGGACAAGGACTTGTTAAATATTTAATAAGTGAACAGAGCTAAAAATGTAATCACCTACTTTATGTAACAAATTATGAAGTAGGTGATTTGGATAAGCGGAAAATGACAAGGGAGGTGATGCTGACGATGAAATATGAATAAATTATTTAGGTAGAACCTAGCAACTTATTAAATAAGTTATAATTTCATATTCATAAACTTCAAGTTTCAACTGCGATGGTAAATATAGTGGATAGTCTTTAATATATGCAAAATTAAAGTGGATCCCAACTAATTAATATGACAAATTAAAATTGGTTGAGGCACTTGAAAAAATTGAACTCTAAAAGTGGAGGATAAGGAAGGACCACCTTGTAAATATTATACCCCATACTTATGTTGCAGCTAGTAACAGGCACATCATGGCAATTAAAGTCTCTCAACAATTTGGCAAAACATACTCTGATTCAAATTTTCACATTCATTAATAGTAAACATTGAACTGTTTTACGTTAAAAGAAAAAACAAAAAATACGACAAGACATGAAGAATACTATTATTACAACTTTGGAAGAAGCAAGGTGAAATAAAATCTGGCAAGTGAAAAGGATGTTTGATCCTTCAGACGCATTAATCTTGGGACCCAACCAATGAAATTGCCTTCACCTTTATCTCCATTTCTATCAAGTAAAAAAATATGATAAAATACTAAGTGGTAGGTAGATAGCAAAAGGCACTTATTATTGATTGACCCTGACTTTTTTTTAGTCCGATATTTCCGTTTCAATTTATATGATGTAATTTGACTTTATATAAAATTTAAGAAAGAAATAGACTTTTGAAACTGAATAATCTAAAACAAGTCATAGATATTTTAAAATTAAATTGTTAACAAATATAAAAATATATTTTTTTACACGAACTAAAAATAAAAGTCAATCATATAAGTTGAGAGTTGAGACACAAAAAAAAAGTATTTGAAAAGATTATAAGATTTTAATGAGATTATGTTCGAGTTAATTCTATGGTTACCAGCTTCGAATGGATGTTATATATATCTCCATTTAATAAAAGTAGATATATTATTCGCGATAAGCACTAGAAACATTAATCATCGATCCCATCAAAGGCTCAAACATAGTACCTACTTTACTATTATATATTCTCATGAAAAAAAGAATTGTGACGGTCCACACATTTTTTTGCCTTCCGATTAAATTTAATAAAATAACTACAAGTTGCACTATCAGACACTATAACATTTACTAATTCATTCTTCTTGGATTTTACTCTATTAATCTATGTATGGCATCAAACTTTTAATCCGTTAAGCAGTTTTTAACTGAAAATACTAGTTAGGTGACTTAGGGATTTCTTATTGCGAAAGCAGATTTGCAACAATTATTACTTGAGTCATGAGTCATCGATCATTATGGTGAAAAAAAATCTGTATATCCCCAATAACCGTCATAATGTAATTACACATTATAGAACAAACTAATAAACTAACGGGTTAATACAAATGGAGCTGACCGGCCAACAACTTCTTTCACTCAAATTATATCTATACATGGGTTCTAGAACCATCTATATATCTACTATTTATAATTATAAAAATTTAGTTATTAGACAGTAAGATTTATAGCAACAAAAGATCTAGATCTACTAAAATGTTACTATGTCTGTACGTATTTGTGTGATTCACATGTTGTGTTTGTCCCAAAGACAAAGTACACTGTTGCACCACTTGTGATGGCATTGAACTATGCCCAGTCCTGTATTGGTATGGACCAATTGTGTATATATATATATATATATATATAATATGGAGTGAAAAACGTGCCATGAAATTTTACAAGTGCTTTAATTTGAGTAAAATTGCATGGTAAAAAAAACTCATTTCTACTTGAAATACGTGAAGCATTGGATTCTCCTAGCTGGCCTTGAACTTTTTTCTTCCAAACAATTGATCAATGGTGATGTAATGATAAATAGAGTTAAGGCATATCAACAGAAATGGGTCCAGCCTAATTAACCAACTACATTTGCTTAATTAAATTTTCTACCTATATATAGTAGTATAGTATATATTAATTAGTCTCACTACCATTTTGCAACTTGTTTTACTAATTATGTGAAAATAAATCCCATTTCAACATATGTTCGTGAATAATATATTAGTTGGGTACGTACTCAAAAGTCAAAATTTTCCAAACTACAACTTGTATGGGTGAAAAGTCATGTATTGTCGCATTGTTTGTTGCTTACTCACTCGAAACTTCAAATTATATTATTAATTTATGGTAATTTTCAAATCAAAGGAATACACAACTATTAAATGTAGATAATGACATTGACGTGGTTCCAGCTGTAAGAAAGTTAAGATTAGCTAGCCTGCTAAGGCAACTCTTTTTTTTTTTTTGTTTTTCGCCGAGCGTTCGGAACTCACATTAAAGTTTGATTAAATTAAAATTTATATCGAAAAGTCCCATATTGAGGAGTAAAACACTCCATAAAAAAATGACTTTATACCAAGAGAGCTCAAACTCGAAACATCTAATTAAGGATGAAGGAATACCAATTTCCAGATACACATGCAACTCCTTCTAAACACAGAGTACTTATGCTAATTTGTTTTCTCCTATTATTTTAGTACGATAATTGTAGTGGTGGGAGAAAGTAAAATATAATTATTATTTTTCCATGATAGTTTTTGCAAATACACTTTTCATACAATATTTTTCTTTCTTTGACCCTACAAATTGTTGCAATAATCCATCCCATTCATTTAGATTTGTTTTTTTATTCCTTCATCAATTGTTAAGACTTAAGAATAGGGAACATAAAGAACAAGAGCACTGGAGTGAGCTAGCTTCATGACTTGCAATTTCAAATCGTTAATTAATCGTAGTTTCTTTTTTAATCATTGAACTGTCCCTTCACAACATACACATAGATTAGTTTAACATGGTTCAAAACATTCAAATTATTACTTTGTTAGCTAATTATGGCCAAATTTATAATCCTTGATTCCTTGTAATACCTGTGATGTCTAGAATTCATGTGCTTCGAAGTCAAACAATGAAATCGCTTGTATCGTCGACAACAACATCCTCTTCTTCTTTTTCTTTGACTCTAAGTTAAAATTCTTTTTCTTCGTAATTCATTTATAAGTTAGTTTTTGAGGTTAATTACACATTTGAAATACACTATGAATAACAATATTCCTCATTTTAATCCATGCTAGTCGTTATGATACGTCAGAAGATAGCATACGTTGCGTAGGTGGTGCGGGTGAGAAAGTTTAGAAGACGCCAACCTTTGTATTTATCATCTCTTGATCTAAATAAAATCATACAATTTTTTAAATAGGTTAAAACATCTTATACTATTAATTAAGAAAAAGTGCATTTTAGCTGTAGTGCTTGATGATAATAAATCATGCAAATTAATGGAGATCTCATTTAGATTTTAATCCAATATTTGCTAATCAATCGAGCTAGAGGTAAAATTGTGATACAACCCCATATTAACTGATGACAACTACACATTATTCTAAAAAATGAAAAAATAGATGCCGAATTTCGAACTACTCACTAATCCGAGAGCAGATCTTGAATATTAACCTCAACTAATTTTCTACTATATTCACAAAAATGAAAAAAATATTAAAATGAACAGTGTGATTTCCCCCAAAAATCAAATCTACTCAGGTATTGCAGTTAACCTCGCCGTAAACTTCCCTCTCCTCCCACTACCACCAGTACTCCTCGCTCTTCTCAATTCCGCAGCGGCGGCGGCGGAATCGTTATTATCTCTCCTTTTCCCCTTTTTTTCTACTAAGAAATCTGAACCTTTACGGCGACAACCGTATTTCTCACCGCCACAATTGTTCAATGCAGAACTAGCTTTTACAGCTAATGCTGCCATTTCCTCCGCCTTAAGCCCACGTTTCAGTTTGCTTAACGGCAACGCAAAGTAAAGTTGGCCGGGTTGAAGCTCCTCATCGGCGCTTATGGCGGAAACCACATCTCCGAAATCCATTTCGTCGGAATTACATATGAATATTGACGGATCTTTCTGTAACAGGTAGGAAGCCTTTACTGGATAAGGAAACTCTTGTAATCTTCCGTCTTGTAGTATCAATTTTGCCGTAGCAATAGATGTTGATTCACAGGAACTGCAAATACCCATTTTTGGTAGATCCGATTTGGATTCAGTGGAGAGGGAAGAAAACTTGTTAGAGAAGACTGGAGGAGAGAAAAATGTGGGAATGGAAGGTATAAATAGGAGGTGATAATAAAATTGTACTCTCGAGTAATGAACCAGGAAGCCACGTCAATATTTTTATTTATTGAAAAAAATTTTAAAAAGAAAGAAGGGGAAATGGTAAAAAGGAAAATAAAGAGGTGACTTTTGAATTAAAGAGTTTGTTATTTGGCATCATAGCAGCATAGGGCAATGCATTGCCAACCTGTAAATATGGGTGACAGGTTGTATAGGGAGAGTACTTCTTCCTTTAAATTTTACCCTTCTATTCATCTTGAAATTACGGAAGTAGGGACTTTGGATTTTTGAGCAAGTCTCATTTTCCTTGCTCATTTCGGGAGTATTTATCTAGTATTGATTCAATTTATTTTAAATCAATTACTTTGATGCAAAAAAACAAAAATAAGTTAAAAAGTCAAAAGTTAATTTTTTTCAACTTTTGACTTATAAGTTTATTCAAAACAAATATCTCAAATTAAGCCTTAAGAATGAAAAGATTTCCGATAAAAAAACACTTCTCTATTAATGAGTTTACATGACACTTAGGTTAATGTGCTTCGGATATTTAAGCTAGCGTTTTATCATAAATTTCTAAATACTTTTGGCAACTATTACTTGTGTTAAAATTTGGGTAAAATTTCACCATGTGTTTGGTCATAGTATTTGGGAAATATATCTCACTTTTTTTAGAAAATATGATTTATACCCATAAGTTTTAAAAACTATCAAAACTAACCATAGGTTTGAATAACAAGTCAATTTGATATTCGTTGCAACAAATAACAAGTATTGTTCATGACACTGGAGAAATATGATAGTTCGGAGTGAGTGCAACAAACATCATTCCATACATCGTGAAGTAGACAAAACACATGACTTTGTTATCCTGAGTCGATTGTTCATCATTTTCATCAATAACCATATCATCACTTTCATATTCACTGAATATTACATCACTACTTTGGTAAGTTTACGTGAAAATTTATGTAATACAACGCAAACAACTACTATAGAGGGTGCTTTTGTAAAATATAAAAATTTGGTGTAGAATTTAATTTTTTAAAAGGTTCCAAATAATGAGATTTGACCCAAATACTAATTTTTTCTAGTTTTTGAAATTTTGGGTTATTTGCCAAATAATAACAAATTTCCCCCAAATTTTACTCTTTAGAAACTAATATTTTCTATGCAAATTTAAATTAATTTAGCCACTAGATTTCAGATATTGAAAGTTATTCTAAAAAGAAAAGTCGTTTAGATATTATTATCCAAATATTAATGATAGACGTATTTCATTGTACATTTTATTTTACGTGAGATTTTTTTAAAATTTAAATTCTTTCACTACCTTATTCAGGCAGTCGAACAAACCTATATTCACATGTATTCTATCCAAATTGATTCAAGTGGTAGAGGTACTAATCAAACTAGTAGTAGAAGTCCAGATCAAGTTGTATTTATTCAAAAATCAACCTAACAAGAATTGTCATGAGATAATAAGTAATTCTTTCTTAATTAAAGATCTCAAATTTAAACTTTGAATAGAGAATCTTTTTTATTCGTCCTACTGTTAATATAACTTATATTATTTTTTTACAAATTCAAATTTAATCAAATTTCCATACAAATGAGAAATCTCAAATAATTAAAAACTAAAAAAAAAAAAAAAAGTTGGTAAACGGTGTACGGTCAATGTACCACTAGGCAGAGGAATCACAAGAAGTTAATAAAAGGAGGGAGAAAGAGCGTAGAATTAAAAACGGGAGGGTAACATGTAACCAACCACCCATCCATTTGTTGAATAAAATGTATGTGCAGTGGTTTTGATAAGGCAAAATTAAGACTTATCTGTAGAGTAGTGAAAGAAGGTTCTTAATTCTTACTGATGAGATGACTACAAACAGATCGACAAGTAACCTGTGCATCTTGATAATGATATTTGAAGGCTACTATACAATAATTCAAAGAAGATTATCATGACACTTTTTCCCTTTCCTTTTACCCTTTTTATCACTTTTTGGCAAATTGACCATACTTTATATAAGAACATACATGTTACTACCAACGATTTTCTCTACTAACACCTAAAGATTATCGGGACAGTGATAACTTATCTTGATTGCAATGAATTGATAAACACAACGATGAAAATTCTCTGAATCAATTAATATGCACCGTCTAGATGCATGCCTCACGATATGTAATAAATATATGATATGTGTTTTTATTATTTAATAACATGTAGTATCACTTTGTTTAATTACATAACTATCATAATAAATTAATACGATTTGATATTATATTAGGCTGGCCAACTAAAATTTTCTCATATAAATATTGTGTTCAACTACATTAATTAATTTTGTTGCAAAAAAATAAAAATACATTAAGTAAATGGAGTAATCATTAATGATTGTGTATACATTTTATTTTGATTGTGGTGTTCAGATTAACTTTCGCGTATTTTAACTAATTTTACAGGATATCTTTTACCTTCTTCATCAACCACATGTACCAAATAACTATGTCCCTGCACTAGGACAATAGGAAAAATCACGTGATGTTTTTTGTTTCACTAGAATTTGAAGCCCAAACCTCATAGTTCTCAACCATTTTATTAACTAGCTACTAGATCACACTTTTGAGTGCGATTATGATTATATCTTTATTTTTTGATTTGAACCATAATTTTTCACTCATAAATTACATTGAATATGTTATCATTTAATTTATTGACTATGTTATTATTTAGGGTAGCATATTTAGTTTATAGTTGATGGATTGTCTACTAATTGCTTTTTAGTCAAACCAAGTAAATTAAAAAAAAGGAAAAGGAAAACGTAAGGGGGCGGAGCTGAAATAATGGGAAGATTAGAAGGGTAATATAGGTAAGAAAAGAAAGGGACGTGGCAAGGTGAAGGAGAAACAGAGGAGTATGAATAAAACGACACGTGGAAATGAAGGAAGGCAGGAGAGTGGAGAGAAATATTACTAGTACTAATTACCAACAACCCGACAACAGCTTACATGTAATGATCTGTTTTTTTGTTGCGTGTTTGAATCCTTCCTTCCTTCTACTCTTCCACACCAACAATAAAACAAAAACACTATCGCTCTTCCATCACATTTCTCTATTTTGTTTTCTTCTCTTTTTCTTATTTTCACTTCTATTTCCTCCCACCTTGGAAAATACTAGTATACATTATATTCTTAATTCATTATTTTCTTGTCTCCTAGTTTATGTTTCCTTCTCTTTTTTATTTGTTCCAATAATTGTCTTCTTTGACTAGGCATATCAAATTATCAATACTTATAAATGTTATTATAATAACACTTTATTAGGATTGTTGTTATCATATTATTTCATAATTTATTGTATTTTATTATTTTAATGAACATATTAATATTTGAATAGATTGTATCGTTACATAATGTCACACATCTATAATTTGAATGATAAATCTAAAAAAAATGACAGGATACAAGATAAAACTACTATGAAAAGGTGAGATAAAACATGAAATATGATTATTAAATAATATATACAAACAAAATGAGAAGAAAATATTGAGGTGACAACGCGATCACACCAAACCGTTTTTATACATAAAATAGATCTTTTCATCGTTATCTAATAATGAATTTAAACGATGCGATATAATAAAATTTATGTAACAATCAAAATAAATATCATATTTAAACTAACAATACAAGATGATGCAACAATTAACCACCATCCAAACAAGTGTAATAGTTTTATATAAATATACAAATCAACATTTCAATTTAAGACGAAAATAAACTTAGACAAAGTAAAAGACATTATTTTCAGCTTGGTTGACTTGGGTCATTTTAAAAATTAAAATACCAAGTAGTAGTATTGTTTAAGTTGTTGAATATAAAAAAGAAAAAGAGTCGCTTTAATTTTCATCCTAATTTGTCCTTATTGCTTAAGAAACACATGCCTAGTGCACACTAAATAAGAGATTCGTGTTCTCTTTTCCCTCCTCCCTTCATGCTTAAGAAATACTACTTTTTTTCCTCTTAAGTTGGTTGGCCTTATTTGAAGGTTAACATCAAATTAAGAAATAAAGATCATGACAACTCTTGTAAGAATATTTTCTCAATGTGCAAACGAACATTTAATTGTTCTATGATATAAAAAAAAATGTTAACGTTCTGGTACAGACTATAAAAGATACTACAAAGAATTGCTTATCGCAAGTGAGTGTTAAATATTTTTTTTATTCTAAATTAAAAATCTTATGATTGAGAATTTTTTTGATGCAAATTCGAATTTAGTGAAGAAATTTATGATAACTTGACTGTGTGTGGTGTTTAAGAGAGAAACTTCTTTTATAAAATATAGACATTGTGAGATAATATATCTTGTCGTTAAGAATAAAATCAGAAGTTAAAGCAATTTTGTTACAAAATATAATAGAAAAGACATTTCATGAGTAGCTTTTACCTGCTTTTTTTTTTCTACTTAATTAATATTCAATCTTTCCTAACTTTATTCTTTTAATTAAGTTATAGATTTGGGGTTTCTCTTTTGGACCCATAAACTAAGAATAAAAAAATAGAATCAAAGATTGAAAATGTGATTTGATAATCATTTGGCGTTATAGAAATGATAATTGTAAGTTGGGTCTATGAAGCTTCCCTCCACATACCATAGCCACCGAAACAGTTTATGTATACATAAAAAAAAAATGTAACTTTTCTTTTTTTTATTATACATAATTAGTCCAACACCTATTCGCTTTTTTAGGTCCCCATTTCGTAGAATTGGCAAATATCACATGGTGTTGCCTCTTTGATTTTGGACTTTTAAGGCCACTCTCCCACCAACTCCGCCCCCACAAAACTCACCGTCACCAACCACAAAGTTAATGTACAAAACAAATACTACCAACAAAAATTGATAGTGGCTGGTTTAGAGTATTGGTTGAACCTTTTTTATTTTTTGGTAATGGTTGAGGCTAGACATTATTGAGGAAAAGACATATTCAATTGTGTGATTAACTGAGCTAATAAATGAGCAGGTCAATAGATAATTCGTATATTAATTTTACCACCTATAATTAATTAGAGTATCAGTTGTACATTTTGTAAATATTGATAAAATGGCACTACCGTACGTGTTTTATATATTAGTTTATGTTTTGTTTCTCAAGAGTCAAATATTATAAATTTTGACTAATATTTCAAAATATATTTTCTCATCAAATTAACGTAAGAAAAGTTATTATTGTCCTTTGTAGTACTACTCATCAAAATTTAAATTTTAAATATAAAATATTAAGTTGATCTAATTAATTTACTAATATAATTTTGAAAATAAGAAAAACATAACTTATTGATTACAAGTGGACTATATATTTCCCAACTGTGATGCCGAGTGAGAAAGAAACCATGCACAGTACACAGCTTGTCAAAATAGACTAAAGATTGAAATCTAAGAACATGACACCAAATCAACTTAGTATAATTGGTCCATAAACATTCAATCAATATATTATCATATATATATGCATGTCAATGTGATGCTTGTATTATTTTCCCCAAATAGATGCTCATAATTTTTTCTTTTGGTGACAGAAACTGAATGATGCAATGCACGTGCATCTCATTGATCAAGCTGTCTAATATTAATTTTTTTTTAAAGATTTGATGAAGCTGCATGTCTTCGAATCTTCTATTTCGACACAAAAACTTAGTAGTAAGAAATATGTAGAGCTATAATTCTTGAGCCGAGGATCTATCAGAAACAATATCTTTATCCCACAAAGATAGAGGGTAAGCTATGTGTATGTGTACTACTGATTCCATCCTTTCCCAGACCCCATTCGTGGGATATACAGTAAATGTTGTGTTATAATCCTAGAGGTACAATTCTCCACTGCAATATTTTTTAATAACAATAAATGGAAACATTAGACTTATATATGTTTTTTTTTTTTTATAGAGGTGTGGAATTTAATTTTGGCTTGATGAAAGCTGGCATTGACAAAATGAAAAGGGAGTACAGCAGCCGGCAAAATAATTCTATATTATTAATTAATTAACGTAATCCATTGAACACGGAATTAATTAGTAGTAATAGTAGTGCACTTGTTTGAGATTTTTAGTGGTCCAAAATGCGAGCCCATTCTATATTTATGATTTCTTCCCTACTTCATGAGAATATTGCAGAGAATTTAAGTTTGAAAAATATATAATGTGGAATCTTCTGCATATTCTCGTTGGCACAGTTATAGTATCATTTCGAATTATCTGTCGTAATTTCTAAAAATAGTTACGTTAAATTATTTATCATTTGAAACAGAGATAGTATTTTGCTTTAGAGGAAGGATTTGCTCATCTCCCTAGCAAAAAGACTTGTTTAAAAGCAAATATCCCATAAATCATTTTTTAATTATATGAATGCATTACTTTACTTATGATAATACAAGACGATCATGATGTGTAATTGTGGATATGCTATCTATTTATTTATTTATTTGTGCAAAAAAGCGTACAATAGTACTGAGTTTTTGGATGTATAGTTATTTATATATTTCGTAGTTATCCTTTTCTTTTACGTCAAATAAGAATTTCATTAGGTCATCTTTATTTATAATGGAGAAACTCGCTAAATAATAATCTACTAAACAAATAATTATAGAACTAGAGCTGATAATTGAACGTAATAGCGTCGAACTACTAAGCAAAAAATAAAATAAAATGTCACATCTGATGGAATCAAGGGATATTTTAATTCCAAAATGAGTGGATAAAATAAGTTTCAATATATATAAGCTTCTCATTGTTTCCGTCACATCATGAAGATCAAGGGATATTTTAAGTCCAAAATGAGTGGATCAAATAAGTTCCAATGTACATAAATTTCTCAATAATTTATGCTGTCACATCATGAAATAATAATTAATCATCAACTTTTAAATGATTTTTGAATTTAAATAGGAGACTATTTGGAAAAGGTTATAAAGTGCCTGTAAGGAAAAGGTTAAGCCTGTTTATTTTAACACACGATTAAATTAAAGATCCATATAATACCTATTTCCCTCCAAAAGAGATACAGATCAGAATTCATAAACTTTATTTTAATGAAATGACCTATTCCTACATGAATTTGGAAACTATGTTCAGATCAAATTAGGAATTTTTGTATTTTCGTGTTCAGAAACGTTCACGAAATGCTGAAGCAAATATACAATCCCTAAAAATAAAATAGAAGTAAGAACTAATCATGAAACTTTAATTTAAACTCCCTTCACCATATAATTGACGAGTTAACGCAACAAGGATGAAAGTAGATTTTGTACATTTAGTCCAGCAATGGATCACTGGTATTACATCTTTTATTCTGAACTTTATGCTTCATCTACAATTAACTATATATCATCAACTCCAAGAGACTATACGGAAGTTGTGCCATATACAAATTACCTCCGGGTTATTCCGGATATCACATTGCACCAGAGAGATATAAGTACTATACGTTTAAGCTGGGAAGAAGCCAAAGATTGAAGAGGGACGACGAAAATGTCAGAAACCAAGCCAAGAAAGCCATGGTAGCGGAGAGTTGGTAACGGGTGCATAAAGTTCCCTCGCAGAATGAGCTTCTAGAATGAATAAGAAAGTCAGCCACACTAGCTGTTGAACATGATGCAGCTAGTGCTAGAAATGACAGGACCTGTTAGATGCGACAACGAGATGGCATTTGATTAGAGAAGAAGATTATATAAGGTAGATTTTTCAGTATATTGAACAAGGTACATACCCAATCTCCTAATACAACAAGTGACATTATTCCAGGCAGACGAGTTGGGAGTTTAATAAGAACTGAGAATGCATCCACCATTGCTAGTGTCAAGCTCCACGCCATAAGCAAACCCATTACTGTCACCAAAAAGCTGCAAGCAACAAAAGTTGAAGTAGGTAAATCAGCTTCACAGCTAGAAGATTATGTTCTGATACTTCTTTACGTCTAAATATTTCTGTACCAGCGCAATTAGTTCATTTAATAACATATCTATTTCCTTCACATTCTGTTTTAAGAGAATAACCATAAACAGCAAATTGGCTCTTAACACATATCTGTTGGCAAATACTGGGATTCTTGTAAAAGGGCAGAGAATGAGATCATAAAGTGCAATCCCAACCCCATATCGACAAATGACTCATTACATCAGTTATAATTTGTTTGGTTATACCTATTACTACTGTGACTAAAGCGGTTCGAGAGACTATGTGCAAGAAACCCCAACTCCTGAAAGAACAAAAAAGATAGAAGAAATGCAGGAATAGCACCGTACAAACAAAAGAGACGAAGAAGTGTATGATCTGATATCATCATCAACCAATAGTAATATGGAACTGTAGCCTTAAAGATGATACGTCTATATTATTTTAATGAAGAAGCACATGAGTTCAATATGATATTTCAATTGGTAACAAATAAGGAAATGCTGACCCCAAAAACACTTCCGACTTGCAGCTCTTAAGATAAACGCCAAATACAGTATAAGTAAAAGCTGTTACTAGTTCTACATCTCCAAATGTTCTTTGGAAGATAAGAGACCTAGCAAAAGTTAACTATCTATGCCGTGCTAGGAAATGTTCTACCATCACTTCCACAGCACCAACATCCACACCCATTAATGACTAAACTGCACGAATGAAACAACACAATTGTATATACACTCCACAAGATCTCAAGTAGGTGTAACTACTTGTTCTCTGCTTCCCACACTGTAACATTGAAAATCAATCACAACATTTACATCTGACTAGCTTCATCCACAGATCCTTTTTGTATACCTAAGCTAACTTTAATGGGTCATGTAAAGCACCACTTAATAGCTGTCAGTTCTCTCACCTATTTATCAAGGAAACTCACAACCAAAATCATTTGGCAGCCATTCCATGAATGTAACTATTTCTTCTGGCAAAGTTTCGGTAAATACATTACAAATAACCGTCCACCCAGGATTTGTTAACGAATTAATGTATAAAACTGAAGAAAGATACGCCTAGACAAAACAATAAAACAGCAAATACACAGATCATATATGCGGCAAATGGCAAATAATACACCAAAAATCAATGTGTCTCGTGTCTCAGCCTAACACGACAAATGAAGTTAATATTAGTCGCGATAGAAACATAAATGATGATGACGAGGAGGAGAAAGAAGTGGATCTATCTCAATCAATGTGTCTCGTGTCTCACCCTAACACGACAAATGGAGTTGATATACGTTACGACAGAAACATAAAAGAAGATGACGAGGAAGAGAAAGAGGTGGATCTATCTAAATCAATGTGTCTCGTGTCTCACCCTAACGTGACAAATGGAGCTAATATACTTTACGACAAAAACATAAAAGATGATGACGAGGAGGAGAATCAATGTGTCTCGTGTCACACCCTAACACGACAAAGGGAGTTGATATACGTTACGACAGAAACATGACTGATTGATGACGAGGAGGAGAAATAGGTGGATCTATCTCGATCAACGAGTCTCGTGCCTCACCCTCACGTGATAAATGAAGTTAATATATGTTAAGACAGAAACATAAATGATGATGACGAGGAGGAGAAAGAGGCGGATATATCTCATTCTCAATAAAAGCTCATCTACAAATGCATACTAGTTGACACCGCCGAATTAAAAGCTGGACTTTCTTGGTCCGTAAATGGATCAACACGTATTACAAAGTCACACAAACAACATTTCCAGGAGAAAGAACAGTTGACATTCCTACAGCTAGTTGTTCTTCGTATCACAAACAACATCATTCAGATGACCTGTAGAAGCTTATTATCTTATTGACCTATTTTACTCATTCTCACCTTGTTCTTTCCTTTCTTTTTTTTTTTTTTTTGCTATTTTTTTATATCTTTGTTTCCCCTTGTGTTTTTCCTTCCAATCCTCATTCACCTACTCCATATCTATTTAATAGTTTCTTCTAGCTACTCAATTTAAAAGCAATCTGCCGCCACTCAATTTGCGGTCATCAACTTTTCATAACACAACAATCTTCCAAGTTTCAACCAAAAAGAGACTCAACATAAAATTCAATTTTCGTTCTTCTTGTTCTCCTTTCAGACGTATGCTCGGTTAGAGCTGCCAAATGACTATATGATCATCAGTCAATTGTACCTCAACTCACCTTCTAATTTCAACTAAGTTCCAGTCCGAAGTGGCAATTGAGCTGTTAAACTAGTTTTTTTCTGGCCATCAAGGAATTAAAAAATACCTACTTGTTAAAAAATGATCATCATAAATTGCACGGCTAGGTCAAAAAGTGAAGGCTATACAATATAAAGTACTAAAAATTCAATCTTTTATCAAACTGCATATGGAACATACAAACACATCAACACAGAAAGTTACCAATCAGAAATCTCCTAAAACTAAAAAAAGTAGCAAAAATTCAAGAATTAACTGATTCATCTCAGAAACAAGAAAAAAAAAAAGGAAACAGAGAAAGAGAAAATTACCAGAAAGCAGTGTAGCTATAGAAAGGGATATCGAAACACATGAAAAGAAGTGAAGCAACAGAGAAGATAGCCTGTCCTAATCTCAAAGCCAAGCTACCACTAGAACCCAAAGCCCCTGGAAGTTCATCCATGTCGTAACTGACATGCCAGAGACTTGCACAAATTTGCTAATATAATGAACTGAGATGTTTGTCATATCCAATTTCAGCTTTCTACGCATTCCATGCCACGTTTACATCAAAGAGGAAGAAGCAACCGAACAGAGGAAAAAAGGAAAAAAATTAATGATAAGAAGATGTAGTTGTGACGTATGAATGAGTAAATTGAGAAAAAAGATTATGTTCTTCTCTAATGTCTTTTGCTAAAGCTTTCAATTTGGGGCAATATGATCTTGTCTGGCTTCCAAAAGAAACAGGTCCAGTGGTTGCGGGAATACAAAATTGAAGCGGTGGCGGTGGACTTTTATGACTTCTTAGTCTATCTTTCTTCTCTTTTTGGCTTAGTATTTCTTTTTCTTTTTCTTTTTTTCACACAATAATTATTTGATCATTTTATAGATTTTACAGGAAATTTAAATTTCTCACTATTAACAACTTACATATTGGAAATGAAGAATGCCATTTACAAGCAAGTACAAGTAGAGCCAATTAGATCGGGTGTCAGGAATGAAATTGTTCTTTCCTAATTAGAAATTTCGAATTCGAGACCTTCCACCCGAGATCCAATGCGGTGCAAATTCAAACTCCGATACTAGACATCCAATAATAAAAAAAAAAGTAGAGCCAAATTGAATCGGGAACCTCTACTTTTTGGAAGGGAATATATTTTTCATTTGGACGATATAGTTTTTATAATGATGGTCATCCTCTAAGGGAAAATTTTGCAAATCCATCAAGGTTCCATTAGGCAGGACATTTTAGGATCTTTCATGAATGCCATTTACTGGGCAGTGAGCTAAGTTCATTGTTACTACACACTCAGTGTTCCATATATGGCAGATTCAATGATTTAAGCACAATATACAGTGAGAGAATTTTGTTCTTGTATTATTTGGGAATAAAATAACACAGCTTAGTAATATGATTACACACATAAATACAAGTACAACAGAGTTCAATTTCCCGATAATTGGAGTTCAGAAACTGAGCTAGCCTCCACTAATAGGAGGTATAATGGCCAATTCATCTCCATCTTTGACAGTGGTGGACTCAGCTGTGTATTCCTCATTCCGGGCAAGAAGCATGCACCCACGAATCTCTTCCAACCGTGGAAAGTGAGAAATGACCTTATTCAAGCAGTCACCGGCAGTACTACCATAAGAAACTTCCAATGGCATTTCAGTCATGCCAGTCAGATCTCTAGCACGGGCGAAAAAAAGAAACTTTATTTGAAGAGATCTACTCTCATCTCCATTCTGTAGAGCTTCCACATCTTTACTGTCGATTCGTTTATCAATCATGACGATTACAAATAACCTGTCCAGTATATTCAACAGTAGGGGTAACATCTATCAGTTATGCTCCGATTCCAAAGCCATGGTTTCTGAGAAATCAAAATTGATGACAGAAATAGCATGTAGTTTTTCTCAAGGACAGGAGCTAAGTAGTAAGCACCACGGCAATGACTAAATCATACTATTCGCCCTCTTGAATTAAAGAATAACTGAATATTTAAAAGGATCTGTTACTCTTTCCTAAGAAATTAAGACTAAATAGTTAAACAAACACAAAACTTAACTTCTACAAGAAGTTGAAATCTAAAAGGAAGTTAAACACTTACTATAAGTAGACTAACTAAAGACTCAAAAATAGTTCGACCTTAGAACTATGTTAACATGGCCAAAAGTGATCAACATCTTATGTAATTGAAAATAATGCTTTTGCAATTTGACCAAAAACATTAACCCAAGTCCACACACTTCACACTGAAAGAAAAGGATGTTCCTTCTTTTACAACATTAAGTTCAATGCAGAATTAACAGTCATTTTAAAATGAATGAAGAGAACTAAAAAGAAAGGGTAAATTCAAGCCAAGTTCACTACATCCATGTATGTACTTACATTATGGTTAAGATAAACTAGTAAATAATATAGAAGTGTTGGATTTCCCAGTAATGACAGAAAGTGACTCACTTATTTAAGAAAGAAACGAGAAAAAATGACACAAACTAAAAGAGTATAAAAGTATTGGATTTCCTAGCGACAAAATAAAACTTATTTAAGAAAGAAACGAGAAAAAATGGCACAGGCTAAAAGAGTATTGAAGAGTTGGATTTCCTAGTAACAACAAAAAGTGACAAACTTACTTGAGAAACAAACGAGAAAAGATGACACAGCATATTCTTTTGGAAGCTAAGATCAATTTATAGGATTCAGTCAAAACACAGCCCCACCCCCCCAAAAAGAAGGAAAAAGCAAAGCAACCAGCTACCACATAAGGAAGTAGATAGGATAAAGATACACCAATTTGTTAAAGGCATTACACCCGACTATGCTATGCTGTAGATACAATCAAACTACGCTTCCAGATTTCACACATATACTAATCCATTAACTTGTTGAGTTCCAAATAAAAGTTTCAAAATTAATTTGCACAAAATTTGGTAAAGACCCATTTCGAAAGAAGACATGTATATTTTTCTTCATTCTAAGATATCACTGTTAACATATCAATCAAATGTAACGAAAAAGGATTACACTAAACTGTGCCAATTCCTGTGTCACTTTTCTATTTAAGGATGGTAAAACATGTTAAGACACCATTCTACAAATGATATTATTAATACAACTTTCATGAGTTTTAACAAGTCAAATACACTTACCTAGTCAATTTAAACTTTGATGTAATGTTTTCTCCCATCGAACTAATGCTTGCCCTATTTTCTCTAATATTCTCTTTTACTACTACTTATATCACATGACTAAAAGAAGTTTAAAATAATTGATTAATCATCATTTTGGCCTCAGGTGCCAATTTTTTCCTCCTAGTGTACTAGAGAGGAAGTTGGTACTATAAGTTACAGAGCACTGATGCCAAAAGGGTACTCCATTCCATTGGTAGAGAAGCAGTTCTACTGATGGATTCTTACTAGTAGCAGTAGTTCTTTACGAATGTTGGCTAACTTATATTTTCTTCCAAACCAAATCATCCAAGGTTAGCCAACCCACAGGATGATTTGGATTGAAAGAAAATATAAGTTAGCCAGCCATCATAAAGAACTAATCATCCTGGTAAGACTCACTGGGTATGTTGTTGTTGTCATCCTGATAAGGCTCATGCCTGATGTCTGTGTTCAGAACCCTACAATGGGCTTCATGGCAAGCTGCACCTCCCCCCTCCCCCCTCCCCCACAAACCTCCTCAACAAAGAAGAAAACATTCCATTTAGACAGCACAGAAATGATTCTCTTCTTACTTCTTAATTTATTTTTTAGTTTCTTTTAATTTGTCGCCTAAAACTGTCTATACAAGTTTGTTTATCAGCTAATTAAGGCATTCACACGATTATCTTTTCTATTTCTTTCCTTATTTTTCTAGTTTTCCTTGATGTTTTGCCTCAAACTAGAAAATAAATTCAAGTTGAATCCATAAACGTTCTGTGTGACTCCTCAATGAACATTGTATTCTCCAAGTATCTGGAACATGTAATTCTGTTCTAGCTTCTAGCTAGAAGCAAAGTATATTATAATAACAAAGGAGTAGTTAATTAGCATCTTCCAAAATAAGGTCAAATTATGTGATTTTGGAAAATTATCGAATTATTGAAGTGCTCAATCCACTTACGGAGCAATTTTCATCGGCTATTCATATGATAATTTGAGAATTCACCCAAAACTAAAAAGCTGTATTCACATAGGAACAAATCAAAGAGGAATTACAGAAGGTCGAAGATACCTGAACCCAAAAGTAGAAGAGGGAGACGCACTGATGCTCTTCTCTTGAAGAATTAAGGCAAAGTAATAGCCCTAATTTCCGATAGAATTCTAAGAAATCTGCAGAAGTGAGGGAGTGGGCAGAATGGAAAAGAGGGCACAAAAATAGTTAAATATAGAATTTCCCACCCAGTTTTTTTTTTTTATTAGTTACTATTACTAGTCCAATCTTTTTTTATTCCATATTACTCATAAAAATATATTAGAATTTCCCATCCAGTTCAATTAAAAAAAGAGTTAAGAAATCTTAGTGAATTTAAAATCCTGTATATTAGAGAAATAATTTATTATCGTGTTATCTAACATAAAATTCAACTTTAAAGTATAAAAAAAGTTCATCAACCAAACCAGGACTAAAGTATAACGACTTATTAATGCTATATAATTAAGAGAGAAGATATGTTTTAAATGGTTAATTTATCTTGATGAGCTTTTAATAACATTAAAAAGATTTTAAAATTTGAGTTAAATATGTTTAATAGGAACACTTTATCAAGTTTTTAATAGAAACATATAGTAATTCAAATATCTAAAAAAAAAAAATTACTAACAAGGGTAAAAGACTTGTCATTGTATTTTGCCTAAATAATTTACTCTTTCAATCTCATTTTTACTATCGCTTTAGTTATTTTAGCTCTATTATGAAAATCATACTCATTTTAAATGTCATTTTAGTTAATTTAGCGTGTATTAAGAAAATAATAAATATAATTTATAGTTTACTAAATTATTTTTTCATTAAATATTGTGCATATTTTTAAAAATTTTAATGTGTATAATCGAAAATAATTATTAATTTGAATTTCTAAAGTAGTACGTAATTATTATTTTTGGAGAGCTAAAATGATTCTAATGTCTAAATTCTAAAATATAAGGGGGTAAAATATTTGATTTTAATTTACAGTAAAGTATGATGGGGATATTTTTACTTTTTTAGTACTTACAATTTATTTCTAAAAAGTTTTAGCCAGATACGACGGGAGCCTTATCTTCGTGTGGCTGAAACTGTAGAAACCTTGTCTATTTCACTGTTTGTTTTTAATTAATTATACATTAATTCTGTAGTTTGCAGTTAGTTGAATGGGGAGTATTGCTGCATATTGTGGTGGATTGCTATGTTGTTCCCAGTTGCGATCGAACAATTCAAGGATAGTTTCGGGCTTATCGGTGTTGGAACAGGTGGATAAGGAGTTGATGAAGGGGGATGAAAGGGCTGCTTTGTCTCTTGTCAAGGATTTGCAGGGAAAGCCTGGTGGCCTTCGCTGTTTTGGCGCTGCTAGACAGGTTCGTTTTTGCAATGTTCTCTTCATTAACATTTTTTCTTCGGATCAATTCAGCAGGCACAGTCCCCACAAATTCATAATTCGGAGGATATATAATAGGTTTTCACTGTTTTTATTCTACATAGCAAAGTTTTAAGCCGAGGATCTATCGGGAACAACTTTGGTACGGGTAAGGTCAGTGTACACACTACCCCACTTGTGGGTTAGACTGGCTACGTTGTTGTTGTTCTGAGTTTGAGGCATTGTTGTATAGATGAGTTAAACCTATTTTCCTTTTGTTGGTTAATCTTTTTGCATTTGTTATAAGTTTTTAGTTATATGTAGATATAAATGGTTTGTAAGCAAGGGCGAAAGTTTACTTTGTTGTTAGTGATTAGCTGGGCTTAGTGGTAAACTATATCTAGTTAGGTTGAATAGTTAATCGTTACGATTTTATTGGACAGACATTGGCCTTGTATTCTCACAAATCTTCTGCTTTAAGCTTACAAGTTTATTGAAGAAACATTTACCTTGTAATTCTCTGAGCTTATGTAGGAAAACTGCTTTAACTTTATGTGTAGGTTCATGCAGGTACCACAGAGGCTGTATTCCTTGGATGAATTGAAGTTGAATGGAATAGAAGCCATATCTCTTCTATCACCAGTTGATGCCACCCTTGGAGCAATTGAAAGGAATCTGCAAATTACTGCTATTTTAAGTGGTTCTGCTGCATGGTATGCGCTTGATTTGAGCCCACAACAGATCCTTTTTGTTTCTCTGGGGGTTCTGTTTCTGTGGACTCTAGACTTGGTAAACTCTTAAGATGCCTGTCAATTTGTCTTCTGGAATTTCTCTATGGCTGTTCAAAGATCATTTTTATATCTTTTCTTTAGAAATTTCTTGAAAATTTGTTCCGAAGGTCAGAGTCATGTTATTCACCAAGCAATTGATTTGCTGTGAGTTTTACAAGATTGATGGCTGCTTTTCTCCTGGAGAAACTCAAAGTTTAGTTTTACTTTAAACAAATTGCTAGGAACAAAAACCGCATTTCTAGTGGTTACCAGCTTTAATTTTCGTCTATAGAAGATATTCTGAAAGAGATAAATCTACATCAGAGGGTTAAAAAGAAAATCTACAACAGAAGAGGGGAAGAACTGAATACCAACTGACATAAGAAAAATCACCAATATGACCAAAATCTCCAATATAGTGCTCCTATAGCTTTACTCCAAAAGGGTTGTCAAAACTTATCTCATGCATGTCAATTTATGAAATCACTCTGTAAAAATTAAGCTTTCATGAAACAGTTACTATTGACATATCCAGATAAATAACACTTTTTCTTTCCCTGTGTTGCCATTTCTCTACGTTTGAAAATCACACTGGGGACATGCTTATGATAATTTGCTAGTTTCATGTTATGTCATATTTCAGGAATATAAAGGAGAACAATCTTAACCTTGTGATAACAGTTTACACTCTTGTTTATGTATATTTGACTGTTAGTCTACTTAGTGAGTCAACAGAGGTGAAAGTAAGAAGCCTAAAACATGGAGTTATGTGTTCTAAGACATTTCAAACATGATTACTGAGTTATTCATATTTGTGCATAGGTTTCTTTCAATGGAGGAGTTGGTACTTTGGTCCTTGACACAATTGGCCATACCTTCAGTCAGAAGTACCATAACAGGGTTATTCAAGTGAGATTCATCACTCTCATTCTCTCTCTGTCTCCCTCTCTTCACCTACATATATGAATGCACACTAAAGAGTATTTAGTTTTCAACTTTTCTGGAAAAAACAACTAAAAAGGCTCTAGTTTTCAACTCTCTTAGATTGTAACATCTTGCAAAAGACTTACAGATTGATTAATATTCAGAATTTGTTTCTTCATTTTCACTTTCTTGCTTCTTCTCAAAAATAATAATAATTCACGTTCCTGCTTGCAATGTCCTTGATACACAAGTATTTAATTTCCTTATCATTTACCTCTACTTTTCTCTCTCTGAAAGTCATTATTAGTTTGGCTTTTCTTTTCTGTGACTTGTCTTGTAACAAGCTGTTCATTCCCCAATTCTGATCTAGCATGAAGCTGGGCATTTCTTGATTGCCTACTTGCTGGGTATTCTTCCTAAGGGGTATACACTCACCAGTTTGGATGCTTTGAAGAAGGAAGGATCGTTAAACATCCAAGCAGGAACAGCCTTTGTGGACTTCGAATTTATTGAGGAAGTAGGTAGTCTCCTATCAATTTTTTAACCTCCAGTAAAGTTTTTCAGTGTTGGTTGTTCCTTGAATATTGCTCTTTCTTCTCCTATAAGCTTTCTGGGCTGGGCAATAATCATTTGTGTATAATTACTCTCTCTAGTTTGACCCTGATTTATTGCCGTGCAGGTAAATAGAGGAAAAGTAACAGCCACGGTATTGATCTCTGTCATAATTATCACGTATGTTTATTTCTGTGACCTGGTATATGATTCCTTCACTAATAATGCACTTCTAACAGATGCTGAACAGGTTTTCATGTATCGCGCTAGCAGGTGTAGCAACTGAGTATCTTCTGTTTGGGTATGCTGAGGGAGGTCTGTCTGACATTAATCAGGTTTATGTTATTCCTATGCCTCCTATAACCTGAATAAAATCCAACTTTCTAGGTTTATTTTGCTCAGTTCATATCTCAACTGAGTGGGACATTTAAATTAGGACATGACATCATATAGTACACTGAGAATTTTACTATTTGAAGTGCAATAAACAGCTAGTGCAGTCCTTATATACTCTTCCTCTAAGAAGAACAGGAGCTATTAATAAGAGAAACTGCCATATTTCCATTAAACAATAGTGCTCCTACCTAGATTTATCGTAGATTGCTATTCACTTTCATGCATAAAGAGTTCGGTCTTCCACCTGCTACTTTTTTCTTGATGCAATTGTACAAGGCTGAGATCCCTACATCCTTTCTCTAGATATTGTGCATTCGTTCAGTTTTCACCAAAATGATTGATTCTATACTAAATGTTAAACAAAGGCTAATAAAAATTCCTGCTTGACAGTTGGATGCATTACTGAAAAGCTTGGGATTTACTCAGAAGAAAGCAGATTCTCAGGTGAGATGGGCTGTATTGAACACAATCCTCATTTTGCGACGCCATGAGAAGGCACGATCGACGCTTGCAGAGGCAATGACTCAAGGGAAATCTGTGGGCGTCTGCATTGACATCATTGAGAAATCCATCAGCGATGATGATTTGTAGCTTCATATTTCTTAAGATCCACCATATAATTCTGATATCCCCTATGATACTCCTTCATTCTCTATATAAAGTGATATTTTGTGTGAAGGTAAAATCAAGTTATTGCTTCTCGCCATAATTCTTCATACGCAAAACTTTGCTTGAGAAAGATGCAACAATGAGCTAACCAGTAACTTCACCAGAGCGCTTATTCTTTGTACATGATACCATTATCTAGTAGGAATGTATAAATATTTATAAATGATCGTCTTCTTTGAGAACATGAGAATGACAATAATGCAACTTTAGATAAAAGGCATTTTCTGAAATCCTAAAAGATATAAAAACTATAAGCTGTATCTAAAGTTTTCGCGATAAATGGTGTTTCATATGAAATTAACGAGATAACTGATTGATGGAAATCCATCTTAAAACTGTGAATTGAACCGTGCTGTTTGTCAATTGTCAGATTGGTAATTGGTAAGGATCACCATTTCATAGCCTTATCTGGATGTAGTAGTGTTTGACATCTCTCAACTGAATGGGTAAATGTCTGAGACTCATTAGATGTATCACTCAACAATACTTACTTTTGCCAAACACAGACAGATTCAATGATTATATCAGAGTCTAGGCAATATAGATTGCATACAACTTTGAGATGAACACTTAGCAAATCTAAGTAAATATCAGCATTTTGCAACTCACTATCTTAATAGATTATTACTTATACTTGATAATATACAGCAAGATAGTTGTCTCATTCATTGTCCAATTGGGTCACAGAAAGTTTAAACCTTGTAGTAACTTATAACAAAATTAAAAACCAAGAAATCATTCACAAGGTCTAAGATCTCTCTATGATTCAAGCTGGGCATACCAGATACCCTGGATTTTTACATCCTTAGGAGTCTTTGCCCCCAGATCAGTATCAGATGGCTGAATGCTCTCAAACACTCCAATCACCTCACCAGTCTGTGGGTTGCTCTTGGTAACAGTAAATGTGATCTTTCCTGTTAGAGACGCGGTATTCTTTACGTTCTCTTTCTGGAGCTCCTCTTCATCTCCTCTGCCTCCAGCTGGCAATGCAACAGCATTGTCATAACCAGTGGATCCACCCCTGCCCTTTGGGTCGAGAAATGATGAACCTCTGTATGATGGCACAAGGAAGTCACCACTGAAGCTCTCAGGCTTTCCAGATGCCACAAGTTGTTTGATGGTAAAGAGGAACGGAACACGCTCACCACCAGGAAGCTGGACAGTAACAGCAGCGTAATCAATTCCATCCTTCTCCTCAAACTTAACAGTGCCGTCAGGAGATACTTCAAAGGGTCCCTCAATCTCATCCAAAGTGTAGGTTAAGCGAGTCATAAGCTTGGTCTTTTGGAAGTCTGGGGCTGAATTTTTGCTTACGCCCTCTGCCTTGACGGTGAATGATGTTGGCTCTAAGCAGAACTTCTTGGCGTTGTATTTGCCTGGCTTGAAGGCAAAGCTATCAACACCTCCATCTATGGTAGGGCACTGGTTGGCAGTTCCAGTTCCCTTTACTTCCATGTATGTCTTGCTCTGAATCTCGTCAAAGGTTAGACGTTTTGGAACTCCTTCAGCATTAGCTCCCTACATGATCAAGTTGCAAATCTTTAGAAATTTTCTCTCTTAGACACAGGACATCAAAGAAAAGGACACAAAGCATAAAGCAGTTGATCACTAAAGGAACATGAACTATAGATGACAATATAAACATTCCAAAAATGAGCAGTTTTAAGTTACTCTATGAACCATCAAAGTCCAGATATAGAATTTTTGCTGCTATTTTACCTTCCTAGAAGATAATATAATATCATAGTGATTATAAGGCATGGTTGCTATTCTTACTAGTGTGTTCTATTTAACACTTTAAACGAGATGATTGCACAATTTAACAAAACAAAGACATTATTAACTTACTGAGACAACAAGGGCAGAAGTGGCAAGGGCAAATCCAGCAATCTTGGCAGCATCAGTACATTTCTGAGCAAAATCTTTAAGATCAGTTTGCAAAGAGCAAGAAAGCCTGGATGCAGATGGTTCAAGACCAAATGCCTTGCCCACACTTTGAGATGACCTCAATTGCAAGTTGTTTCTGGCAGAGACACCACCAACCTTAGTTGGTTGCATAAGAGTAGCAGCTGCTTGTAGAGAGGCTGCCATTTTGTTTTGTTTTGTTTTTCTGATCAGTTTTCTGCTGCTCTTTGTTTCTGTTTATTAGAAACTAACAAGTGTGACAGTTGGATGGTCAGATTGCAGAAATAATTTTTGGTGGTTTTGCTGTGGGTAAGATAAGATATAGGATAAGGTTTTCTTTCATTGGTGTCTTAGCTTGCCATGTGGCAGGCAATGTTAGTACTTTGGATGAAGATATACAACTCCTTCAATCTTGTATTTAAATTGATTGACAATCATGTTTTTGTTTGATATTAGCAATTAAAAAGAAATGGCCCATGCAGGTCTCGAACCTGCGACCTTCGCGTTATTAGCACGACGCTCTAACCAACTGAGCTAATGGGCCAGATATCTAAAATGTTATCTTATTTTTATATAGACAAAATTAATACACTTCCATTTTTATCAAAATAAAATGTGAACCAAAATATAAAATTATCATAGCATGGAGGTCTAATAATTTTTTAATATTCAAACTAATCTGAATGGAGGGAGTAACAGAGAAGGAATCGGAAGACTTAGTTAGTTTTTGGCCCCAAATTTCTAAATATTCCTGACAAATTATTTATGGGTGAAGTTTCACTATGCATTTGACCATATATTTTAGAAGAAATATTAGATTATTTCAAAAAATATGATTTATATTTATAAGTTCTAAAAGTTACTATAAATATCTTTAAGTTTGTATTGTCATTTTATAATAAAACATGTTGCGTTGAAAAATAACCTTATAACAAAATTGATAATAATCAACTACACCAAAATAACAATATGGACAAGAATCAAGAGCAATACACCAATCACATATTCAAACTTGTCACTGATTCACGATGAATTATAACTCATTAAAAACAAATTATTTTTTATTTTGCCATGTTCTACATAGATAGCAAAAATGAAAGTTATTAGTTATTAATGGAGTAATTTGGTAGATAAATATTAGTTGAAATTAATAAATGATGGATACTTTTTTTTTATAAAAATATAAAATTTGGAATATTTTTTTAATTTTTTAAAATTCTCAAATATTAGAACTTGGCCATATACTTTTTTTTAAAAAAATATTTTGGAACTTATGTTTTAATTATTCACTATTGGACAATATGTTTGGTCTGTGAAGAAGAAATTGGAAAGAAAAGTACTATATGACTCTGTATATTATAGAACTACGAACAATTGCGATTTAAAAAATGTCTGATTATCTTAAATATATAATATGTAATATCTAAAATGATAGTAATACTCAAGTATACAAAAAATATTTAATTTGTTATTGCAAGAAGTACAGCCGATTAAATAAAACAATACAGATATTTAAAATTTTAAAATAAGAGTATAGTCATCAAAAATAGACGTACAGTTCAACTACAAATTTGATATACAATTTCTTTGAGTTAAATTTTATATTTAATATATAAAAAATTTATTTAATATGTATAAAATATTAATTTATAACCTTATAAGTTATAACTCATGATTAACATTTTGAATAATAAATTTCATCATATTTTAAATCTATTTATAAAATTTACACAAATTAAATAATATTTACTATATGATACTAATAACAAATTTCATATTAGCAATAGAATAAACTCTTCTTATAAAGGAAAAAATGAAAGTTGACAAAAATAATATATTTTGTATAAATTACTAGTTTCTTTTTTCGCGTATCGACTACGCGTGTATTAACTAGTTCGGTAACTATAAAAGAGCATTTTAAAGCTCAATAGTCAGCACCATCTTTATGCGGAACTTGTGCGTTACCGGCGAGTAGTCCACCGAATTGCTCCTCTTAACCGTCCCGGCGACTGATGTCCGATGAAAACCCTAAATCCTCAAAGTAATATTACTTTTCTTCCCATTATCTTGGTATTCTTCCATTCATTAAGAAAAAGAACGAAGGAAAATCTGAGAACTCGATATTGGAATTCTTGCATGTTGGAATTCCGGTGATGATGTCCGATCAAAACCCTAAACCCTAAATCCTGATCTATCTATTGGTATTTTACTGTTCTTCCCATTATCTAGATATTAAGGTAAAATTCAAGAACTCGGATTTGCATCTTGAAATTCAAGAACTCGATAATTACATATTGAATTTTTTAACAATTCTAAGAAAATCCGAGAACTCGATATTGGAATCCTTGGATGTTGTCGGCTGTTTTCTGGGTTATCGGACTGAGGGCGATTCAATTGGAAAATGCAGATGCCACAAGGGATTGAATATGTACTCGACGCTTCACAATGATCACCTTTGACAAGCAATTCGGGAGCTGCGTTTGAAATACCCTGATGTTCACATCATATACGCAGATTACTAAAAAGCGTTCACAGCTGTTCTTAAAAACCACACCTTTCTGGGATTCTATACAAAGAATTTGATGAAGGCATGTTGTGGTAGGGGCGATGGTCCGTTGAACTTTGGATTTCGACCGACCCCTAATGCTTTGGAGAACCTGATTGACACACTCCTGAGCCAAAAAGTATTCATATTTCCAGAATTCAAGTTTGGAGAAGAAACAACAGCACAGCAGTAGAAAGGCATCATTCCAGGTTTCGTGGAGTTAAAAAAATGTCTTGTATTGTTAGGCATTTACTCTTCGTCTAAGACGGCTTTATTCCCACAAGACATCTTAATCCAAAGGGTGGAATGGAGAAGAAATTGGTCATTTTTACGGTAATTAGATTGACCAAATAGTCATTTGATGTATTTGCCAAATAATGGCAAGTTGTATAGCCAAACGTCATTTCCCAAGTGTTTTCCAAATATATTTGGGGCCAAACGGAACAATTTTTTTGTGGTCTTGAAGACTATACGACTCGTTTGGTCATAGATTTCCCAAGTAAAATTGGTAAATAGTGTTTGTTCATACAATTAGTCATTATTTGGCAAATTATCCAAATTTCCAAATACTAGAAAAAACTAGTATTTGAGTCAAATCTCATTATTTGGGAGCTATTATAAATTCAAATTCTACACTAACATTTTATCTTTACCAGAACACCCTCTATAGTAGTTTGCATTAATATTGTATTACATAATTTTTTACATAAACAATAAAACAGTGATGAAATATGAAAGTGATGATATGATTGTTGATAAAAATAATGAACAGTCGAATTAGGGTAACAAAGCCATGTGCTTTGTTTACTTCACTATATATGAAATGTTTTTTGTTGCACTCACTCTAACTGTCATATTGATCCAATGTCATGAACACTACTTGTTATTGAACTATCATATTGATCCAATGTCATGGACACTACTTGGTGAAAAATTTCACCATAGAAAATATTTGCCAAAAATATGGCTGAATGCTAGCTAACATTTGCCTTTTTATTGGAACTTGTTTTATAATTACAAAATCCAGCTGCTATTATCAATTCACGATCACTATAAACCTCCATTCAATGTAGGGAACCAGCGCCAATTTTAATTAGATACAATGCAAGTCTTACAACAAAGTTACAATGTTCAAACACACACGAAACAAAAAGTAGCTAGTTTAAATTCAAATTATTGGAAAGAGTTTTAGTGATGTCCTTTTTATTTTTATGTGATGAGGTGCAGTTAAAAGTTTTTACATGAATGAATTATAATGGCTTTTAAAACATCCATCTTTTTGAGTGAAGCCCTAAAACGACACATTGAAAGCACAGATCTCACAAAAGTTTTAAAGAATAAGCGTTTTTGGAATTCGTGACATTTTACCACGCAATTGAAGCGCAAATCTTTATCTAGAAATTTTCTTCATGTGGTAAGATTCAAAAATCAAAAATTAAAAAGGAACTATAAAATCGAACGTTCAAATTTCTTTTCCTTTTTTTTAAAATGAAAACTCGGTTATATAAACAAGGAATAAACTAAATTAATCAGAATCAGATTTAAAATCTCATAAATAACGAAAAACCAAAATTAAAAGTAAAGAAGTAGCAGATAGGATTTCCTCTCAGACAAATGCCTCGATTGTCTTCATTATTTTAAAAGAATGGATTATCAGACTCGTCATCTGTTTGTTCATCATTGAGGAACTACTACTTCAACATTCACAAAAAAAAGAAAAGATAAAAAAAACTGAAATTCAAAAATATAATCACATCCCTAATGTGTTATGTGTGAGTAGGTAAAGGGAAGATTGAAGCTGCTCTACTTATAGGCATTATTGGTAGGTTTAGGGTTTAACATTAGGGGATTGGCTTCAGGCCCAATCTATACTTCTTCTTGGACTTTAGTAGACCGACTTACCACTACTGGGGTTTTTTGTTGTCTTGGCCCAATTTAACTTAGACAGTGTCCCAAACGGAATGCACAAATACTCGTTTTTAGGGCCTCTTTTCAATTTATAATCGATTTTAAAAAAATATACTGATCAAGTTTACTTATCTTGGGCACAACTTCAGACGTACACATTCGAAGTTGAAAATATGTGTGTAACTTTGGATATCTTTGTCTGAATTATGATCTTTGTTTGATATGGTTTGTCAAGCTCAAATTCAGACATTTTAAAATGAAGTTATCGCCTTGGTAACGTCTATTTTGGACATTTTTTTTAGTGAAGATATGACCTTGTTAAAAGGCAAACTTCAGATATTTTGGCATGATATCAAGGCATATTTGTCCCAACTTTAGACATAAATGACTGACAACCCAAAAAACAATTGATGAAAATTATGAGAATAATCTGAATAGTGCACACACCATTTTCCGTTTTAGGTATCTGAATTTAGATTATAGATTAACTTTATCTTTGACTTGTTTGTAAATAATAATTTTGTTATTTGACCTGATTAGAAATTTATGAAAACATATGATGACGGATGGATGGTATCGCCGAAGGACTAGACTTGTCTGAAGCTCGTTAAATATGGTGCCTCATGAAATTTTTACTACAGTCCTTAGGAGGTGAGCAAAAATAAAACTGTAGACACGTAATTTTTGATCGAATTTAAGGTATTACACCATTTTTAGTACATAAATGTTGCTTTTATATATAAATTAAATATTTTATTTTTCATCGTATTTTAGTAAGTTTATTTTTAAAAGATTGAAAAACTACAAAAAATATATATTTTCTTTTAATTTAATTTTTTATAAATAAGCTAGTATTTCTTAATTATATTTTTAGACTAGCTATTTGACTTTTCTCATATTTTATTAATTCAAAATAATTAATTAATATTTTTATTATTATGATTTTTATATATAGATTTAATTTAATAAATATAATAACCTAAACTACCCACACTACCTCACTACCCCACCACATTGCCCCCACTCACCTCACATTTTCCTCCACGACCCCACCACAATTTCACACCCTACACCTATATACTTCTACACCAACACAGAAAGAAAAAAAAAAGGAAAGCAATCAAAAAATCTGCACAACACACACACGCTGCACACAGAAAAGTTGCGAGAAAAAAGAATAGGAAGTAAGATTCCATTTTATTTTACTTTGCTTTTTTAAAATTCACCAACACATTCACATATTTTCTTCCTTACCATTCTTTTCATATCAACACAAACACATATACCATCACAAACAACCTACAAAAGTTGTGGGTGTTCTAATCGAGCTTCGGTTAAGATTTTACGGTATTCAACTTTACTTTATCTTCTTATTTAATTTATTCATGGAATTTGATGTAATTTTATGACAAGTTTTATTATATTTTGTTTCCTTCATGAATTTGATAGAAATGATTCATTTGTTAGTTGTTATATCTCTATTTCATGAATGAAGGTAGCTTTAATTGATGATTTTGTTTTTTATTTATTTATTTCTATTTATTAGTTGTGATCTTTTAAAAATGAACGGATCATAACATTGTTCTTGTCTTGATTTAGATAAGAATGATAAAGTAAGTATAGTTAGGCTAAAAAATAAATATATAAATAAATTTTTGTTGTTTTATTTTATCAAACAAAAAATGAGATTTATTTTTTTGCAATTCGGTAATGTTTTTTCTTTGATTAGAAAATGTACACTTAATTTTGACTCCAACTTTAAGAAATTGCAAAAAATAAAAACATATGAAAAATGATCAAAAAATTTATTCTACAAGTTTAGTATTTTACTTTATTTGTTTTTTTAGGAATACATATTTTCTTTTAAAGTTAGATCAAACACTTAAAAAATTTAAAAATATTTGTTTCAATTAAGAATGTGGTTACACATCTTTTTTTGAGACATTAAAATTAAACTCAAGGATGCGGTGATGCACTTTGTCTAATAATATACAATTAACTTTTATTAATTTAAAGTAGAGACTAGCAAAAAATAATGAGATTATTAAGTGCGATGCAAAGAAGACAGTTATGTCTCTAATCGTGAAGGCCAAGAATGCGGTTATGCATCTAGGTTAAGAGCAAATAAAAAGTTCAACAATAAAAAATGCAAACAAATAATGGTCTGAATTAATGTATCCTAAAAATATTCAAAAACATATTAAAATAAGTACAAGTCAATAAAAGCGACCGTGCTAGAACCACGGGACTCGAGGGATGCCTAATACCTTCCCCTCGGTCAATAGAATTCCTTGCCCGAATTTTTGGTTCGCAGACCAAAATAAAGAGTCATTTCCTATTGATTAGGGATTTGAAAAGGTGACTTGGAACACCACAACTCAATTCCAAGTGGCGACTCTGAAACAAAACTAAAATAATCCCTAAATCAATACCGTACTTAAATTGGAAAAACCCTCGCCGTTGTCGCGAAAAGGGGTGTGACAAATACTCCTTCTTTATGTGGCATGGTTCGAATGGTAATTAAATTTCATAATTTTGATAGTGAATTTCTCTGTACAAAGTCGCTAGTCCTTTAGTTTCACTGCACAAATTAGGATTCACTTTTATCTTTCTACGATCTCTATTATTCTGTTTTCCTTCTTTCATAAAGATCAAGTTAAGTGTTGGTTCTCACTTCTCAGTGGTGCATGATAAAATGATTGAGCTGCTTTTCGATAGGCAAAAGCAAATGAGAAAGATAGTAAATTGTTTCAAAAGGAGAAGAAGCACTTTATCCTTCTTTAATGAAAGGTATTCGTTCAGACACATCTTTTCAGGCCAGCAATGCTCATTTTGTTGCATTATGACATGATGGCTAATTACTGGACCACCCGATGATTGAATAGTCCAACAAGAATTTCCCTCTCCGTTCAAGCTTAGCACTATGTAACAAATACTAATACTATCGCACTCTTTTGGTGTCCAATTAAAACTCCAAATTCCCGAGGCAAGTGACAACTCTAGTATATAAAGCTACTTTAAATTTCATCAAAATAAAAAGTAGTTCATCATCATAGTCAGATTAGTAGATACACATAGTTTCCCACCTAATTAAGAGCAATTTTAAAAAAAGTGGTAAAATTCAAATTTTCAAACACGTTACATTACTGTTTTTTTGTTCTCCAACTACCGTGCTTTTCCTTAGTTATATCATTGAGATCTAAATATAGAAAACAGCAACGACTTACAAACAAAAAAGAATCTGTTCACTAAAGAATAGTAAGTTGGAAAAAAACAAATTTCTCAATTACAGAACAACAGATATATAACTTAAAACTAAAAGTAGAGACCATTAGGTAGAAGAAAGAAGTTGATTTGTTTCTTATTTGGCTTTATTATTGATGTTGATGACGATGGCCCCGTCCTTTCTTGGCCTCCACAACCGTTGGCTCATGCGAGTCACACACTTGCGTCTTGAGTTTACATCCCAACTTCTTTCTCCACCCTCCTCCTCCTTCTCTGCCGCCGTTGCTGCCGTGTTTGCCTACCTTATCTATCTTCTGGATTACTTTCTTCATTGAGGAGCATTCGCGTTCCAGTTCTTGTACTCGCGTCCTCATGCTATCCATATCCAAGCGTAGCACTTGATTCTCCCTCACTGTTTTCCTCCACGTGCTACTCCCTTCCTGTGCACGTGCCATTCCAACTACTCCTGTCGTTTCCTCTTGCTCTCCACCTTCACCCTCCCCTTCCCTGCCGTCCATAATTGACAGCCGCGGGATTTCTTCTGGATTCACATCAGCGACCATAAGAGTTCCGGCAATTGCTTGCCGGAGTTGGAGTTGTTCGAAGAATAGTACCTGAACTACGGCTCTAAGTGGAAGCCGTTCATTCTGAGCTGCGTGTGTACACGCCTCTAGTGTTAACTTTTGGCAATCCATTACTCCGCATATTTGCTCCCTCTCCGCTTCCGATATCCATGGATGCGCCTGCATAAGGAATTTAATTAACAATGTTAAAACACAAATTATTGAACTAAACAAGTGAATAGAATTTTTAATTACGAAAATGTCATTTACCTTGAGATACACATCGACAGCTCTGTAAAGGCCATCATCAAAGAGTCTTGCTTGGTCCGGCAATGCAACAGCTAATTCACAGAATTTTTCCGGTAAGAAATTATTATCAGAAGCTATTTCTGATAAGTAACCGTCGATTAACTTTCCGACTAACATTAATGCCGTGGATCTGACACTGATGTTCTCTTCTTCGCCTTGAATTCTAGCGGTAGACCTCTCTTCCAATCCGTTTAAAAAATATCCTAATATTCTCTCCACACAAGCAACATCATATAACGTTTCATTAAGATAAGAGTAGCTCGGAATGAGAAGATCGTCTAATGTGGCTTGTTCAAGTTGAGATCCGATTTTCCTCTCCAGTGCAGCTCGAGTAGCTTCCGAAGCATTTAGTATGTTCGCTGTTCTCAATAAGCCGAAGAGAATCCTTGTGGTTGTTGAAGTTCTTGAGCTAGTCTCTTCAGGAAGGTTAGTAATTATAGTCTCCAAAAGCTCTCTCTGTTCGTTCTCCGATGGTATCGAAGATGAAGATGCCTTCCTACTTGAGCGTGAAATTCCTGGAATGTACTTCTTCGCATAATACATTAGACAGCTCTCGATAACTTCTGAACTCAAATCTCTACTTTTCATTGCAGAAATCAAACGCTTGAACAAAGGCAAGCTCAAGTGCCCTAGCTCTTCGAACCACGAATCCATACCACCTCCTTTGTTGGCACCTTTACGGCGAGTATTTGCTTCAACTCCATTTCCAGGGCCGTGATCATTCACCGGCCAGCCAAAGAGAGACGGATCAGCAGCTGAAGCTCTAACAGCAACGGCATCAATGCATCTCTGAACAATGCCGAGTGTTTCTGCTAACGGCAAGATGTTCTTGCACGAGTTTAGGGTTCTAATGGAGTCCTTAATACTCTTTAGCACTGTCTGTGAAAGAAACCTCTCCGTCTTGGAAATGAGGTTATCCTCGGAGTACTCTTCAGTCATCTCCAAGTACTCACCCGCACAGCGCAGTGGAGCAACGTTCGATGCAGACAACTCGATTTTCACACCGTAACAGAACTTGGCAGCCGTCTCAAATGTCTCTGAACCGCCCGGGAAATCAGGGAACGAAATACAGTATTGCTGGTCCTCCTCATTATCCTCTTCTTCTTCAATCTCCTCATCACCATCACAATCGTTGTCTCGTTCAGCAGGTTTTTGGATTTTACTGCTACTTGCATTTGTCTCTTGCTCTGTTATCATTTCATGAAGCTTTCTACTTTTTGACATCAGGGGAAACTGAAACAACCGACACAAAAATAAGTAAATAAACAAACACATATTATTATTTCAGAATCTATTCATTCAACACACAACTGACCAACCTTGTGAAGATGGAAGGCCATATCTTCAACTTCGATGATGATATCACTGGGTAATCCTGTAGTACAAAACCTGAAAAACAGTGAATCTGAGTTAACAATACGTGAAGAAGAAGAAGAAGAAGAAGAAGGAAAATGAGATTGTTACTCACCATGCTTGGCCTTTGGTGGTGGGGTGGTCAGTGTGCGCCATTTTTCTTCAATGTAACAAGAAAGTTGAAACTTTAGTTTATCTTTTACCAAGGAAGTAGGACTAAGATAGATCCATGAAGATAAGATGTTTGAAAGAAAGCCTAGGTGAAATGATTATGTAGGTTGAAAAACAGAAAAAGATATATTGATGATGATGAAATTGATGTGTTTTCTTTTCCAAAATCTCTGTCTTCAAACTTGTACCCACTTTCCTTTTGATGATGAATCAGATCAGAATCTTCTTTTTTTCTCTCTCTAGGGTTTGAAGGAGGAAGAGGGAGAATTCAAAAAGCACTTTGAAAATCCACTTTGTAAGAATACACACAAGCAGGAAAAATTATACTGTCGTCATTAAATTGTTTCCCTTTTCTCTGTTTATAAGCACCAAAAACACACTTTGCTTGCCAACTATTGTTATTGCTTTTTTGCATCAAAACTACCCTATTATATTACTGTATTTCTGTGGGCCTAATTAGAGACTATAATCATACGCAACTTGATTACAGGAGTATTCACGTTGTTGCCATAATTAACATTTAATTTGCTTTGTTTCATTGGACGGGGTATGTTTGATTATACATGAAGCAAGCAATTATATATACAAGATTTTTGATTAAGAAAAGATCAATCTCATCCGCTTCACCACATATAGTATGATTGTTTAAGTTAATGGAGAGGAAACTAATGGAACAAATGATTTCAAGATTATGGAGTTATAATATGGATGGTCCCAAAAGGGGCCTCCAGCTAAAAGGTGGCCCATATACGCTGTGTCCAGTTATCGTACCTTTTAAGGATCCATGACAATTTGAATTTCTCAATATAAAGCCCACATTTCCTGCTACACCACCACTTCAAATCAAATAAATGAAGGGAAAAAGAGTAAATATATCGCGAACTGTCGTAAATGGTATGCAGATATCCTCGTCATTCTTTTGGGACAATGACGCCCTTGCCGTCCAAAAACTAGAGCATATATGCCCTTCACTCTAACGGAAGACTAAATAGAGATACGTGACACAATCTTATCCATCGATCCAATATTTAATAAATGTCGGGTCGGTGGATAAGATTATGACACGTGTATGTCCGTTAGTGTAAAGGGTATATATGCTCTAGTTTTTGGACGGCGGGGGCATCAATGTCCCAAAAGTATGACGGAGGGTATCAACATATCATTTACGATAGTTCGGGAGTATATTTGTCCTTTTTTCCCGTAAAAGAATAGCACAACAAATTTATAACAGCTTGAGAGCAATTTGACACTCGAGAGTTTGGTAGTTCACATGTATACCATGATATAATTCAATTTCATTTTTTCTTGATTTCTTAAGTTCTATTCGATATTTGCATTAAAACTTTGATTTAATTTTGATTTTCACACTGCATAGTCTTCTTCAATGTGGAAACCGAACTCTGGTTGGAAAACTGAGACATGAAAATTAAAAAAATAGGCAACTGCCTGCCATTAACTAAAACATACCTATCTTTATTAGTAGGGCAATAAATGGTGTCGACTTTACGAGGTCCACGCAAAGAGAGGTTGCTCGATATTAATTCTTCTATCTAACATTTCAAATTCAAAATAAATAACACAACAATAATATATTCTATTTAAATATTAGTATAATGAAGACAGGAGATCTGATTTTTAGATTATGGTATTAATTAGTTTGATTTTACTGCAGATGGTGATAATTTTGAATGTGCAAATTGCAAACGTTTGCTAAACAACTAAACATTCTCTGTTTCGGTAAATTATAGTTAGGAAATAACTCTTACAAAGACCCAAGATATTGGAGAAGGCTCTGTATTATAGTTAGAAATGGCAAAATTAATTCACGAAAATATAATTTTGTTTAAATTTGAAATAGTTAATAACTCATCGATATTTATTAACTCGATCTATTTTGCCCCGTCAAATTCAATTCATGTAAAAACCAATTAAGCTAGTATCTGATTCGTTGTTTAGCTCATCTCACCTTCATATATCTCCGCACTTGCCTATTTAACATTCCTATTCATATCATTAAAATGCTACTAGTATAAAAGACACATTATTTTATACAAGTTGCATCCATGGAATGTCCTCCCCTAAAGCTATCCATGTTCCAAAGTGAAGGAAAATAAAAATATAAAATACCATGATTATAGCCATATTAGGTGGGCATTCTTTAATATTAAGTGACTTAATAATAGGACTATTAGTTGACATTTGTCTTTAACATTTGACACTCGATTGATCGAACTGGTCCCACGATGTCCAAGTATTATGTCATAGCCCATGTGGTCTAGATGTAAGTAATATTAGGCCTCAGAAACTAATGGTTGCTTAGTATTTTTGATTCAAACTTTATATATAAATATAAAAGCAATTTTTTGTGAAACTCAAATCTTGCATAGATATTTCCTTATATACATTAGATAAGTATAAATAAATAGATTATCAATGTAATAAATCAAAACTAAAATGTCTAATTTGAACCTACAATTCAAAAGTGAATTTGAGAAAGAAAAATGGAGGCACAAAGACCAAACCATTACTAGCTTCTTGAGAATAATAAAGAAAAACCCAAAAGCGGCACAAAACCCGTGATTAATTACTTATATTTATTGAATGAAAATTTACAAAACACCCTGCACAAGGTTTAAAAAGCACTCAATTCTGGAAAACGGATTTATTTTACAACTTTGTAAGCAAATTAGAGTGGTTCGGTCAATGTGTATTGACCTCAAAATTCGCATTATTTTTATTGATTTATTACAAATGACTACTATTATAGTATTATATAATTGATTAATAATACACCATTTATTTATTGGTCTCCAGAAGCAGTTTAGCTGTTACCCAACGGCATCATCGCCTCATTGAGTACCTGAAAAACAACAATTATTTTGAAATCAATCCAACATAAGCTTGCTCATATTATCAATTCAAATCTAGATAGTACCCAACTGATGATGTAATCGCTCCGACTTATTTAGTTTTGAGGTCTAGTTAATATTTTGTTATTTCTAATCTAAGGATTAAAAAGTACATGATAAATTGTTTCATAAGATTAATCTATTAGCACCATCCTTGATTTATTTCATTCGTCTCCAATCCAACAAATAAATCACTTTCTTGAAAATGAAGTATCTAGAGAAACGAAGAAACAAATTATAGCTTAAGATTTTGAATCGTTTTCAATAGAAATTAAGTATGAGCAAAATTGTCAAAAGCTGTAAACACTACGCAAATGTTGATGCTGGAGAATTTCCGGTTTCTTCGGATGATTATTTAAAAGTATAAAAAATAAAAAATAAAAATCTTTAGGAGAGAATTTCCACTTTCCTTTTTGGGTTGGCACTTGACATATAATGAGACCATCACAAATTAAAGGTCTACCAAATTCTAGAAAAAACAAAAAAGAAAGTGGTAGTGTACTACTTTCTTATTGAAGCGTAAAAATTATTAAAAAGCAAACTTATTTATACTTGATATGTACATTAAATCATTCAAATTTATCATGGTTGAGTCGTAACGTATTAATTAACTGTGGTATGATTAGATTGTACGTGAAGACATTTAAGTCATATGACTCATATTCATTGGATTTGGGCATCCACAGTTAGTTTAAATTCTCTATATACCTGCGGTGGTGGTGGTCGGAGCACATTTGTTTTGGGTAACAGTTTCTTTGTTTTGGGTGGTGGTCTGAGAAGAGGACATGACAACTCCAGGCCAAGGACGACAATTACAATGCTTGCCTTGTTCGATGCTACCATAGAGGGTGCTCAAATGTTTACCACACCCACCCAGGAGTACTTCCCGCATTTTTTGCAGTCCACTCTATAACACATTTTCTCTCTTTCTTATCTCTAAACTCTTTGATCATAAGTTGTTTTTGTTTACTTTTATCCAATTCTGGACCAGTCGACTATAAAACAACTTCCATCAACTTTGGTGGTAACGACCAATCGTTAAAGTTCCTTTGATGGTATCGGATTGGTTCTTTCTGTCACGGAAAGATTCACCTCACCTACTATATTTTTCTTGCTGCATTACTTTAATTATCTTTCTAGACAAAGTTACTAGGGACTTTGGTTAGCCCTAGGATACATATTGGCATTTGGTGTTTGTCTGGTTCCATAGAGAATCCATACTATCATCAGACAAGACACGCTATATAGTACTTAGCACTAAATCATATTGCTTAAGAGCATCTTTAGGAGTATATAACGACACACAGCAAGTTTACTTCACATGAAAGTGCGCTTAGTTTCAGAAACATTCGTACGCCTTACCTGCCAGAGGAATGTTGGATTAAATATCCTACCACTAAATTGTCTTTTATTTCCGTTACCCAAAATATTCTCTAGGAGACAAGAATAATAGAATAAAGGATCCAGTAACATTACAACATATTATGGATAATGGTGGTGTCCAGACCAACCTATGCACTCGTCAACTAATCCATGAAATACCTACGACTCTCGACCCACCAAGCCATAGACAAACGAAAAGATCACCTAATGTCACCTCTACTGAATGTAAACTTCTGTTCAAGCAAAGATGAATAGCAAACTAAGCCTCAAAAAAAGGTCATCTTATTTTGAAGCATAATATGCCTGTTAAATGACGTGAAGAAAGAAGAAATTCTTAGTCACAGATAGCCAATGGTTTACTGGAAGAAGGTACAGATAGATGAATGATTGTTAATTTCAAAAGGTAGTGTTATAAATAAATACACAAATGTATAAAATACTTACTACTTGCCATATGATGGTTAATCAGCAGATTTTCAGCACCAATTAGCCTAGACAGTGGTTACTTGTTCAATTACTGGTCTGCCAGCACAGCTATCATTTCGTTCAAAGAAGTAATCAATTTCTGAGTCTTTACGTAGATTATATATAAAAAAAAAAAACTTACTGCAGAAAAAACAAAGCAACACATACAGAATAGTCAACATGCATACAGGTAATTAATTTAAGGAAATAAACTGATGCCATCTGTGGCAACTGGCAACACACTTCCCAGCTAACCAACAGAGAGTGCAACAAACTAAGGTAAACCACCAATGTTGTCAATAAGCTAAATTTATATGTTAACTATAACTTAATTGAAGCAGCAACAATACATTCTTTAAGAGGCAGCACCATCTCCATTATCTGACGGCTGCTCAGATGCAGGTTTTTTCGCTGGACTAGATTCTGTGGTTGTGTTTAGATGCACCCTCTTGACTCCTCTTCCAACTACTCCAAGATGGGTTATTCCAGCTGCACCATTTGTGTGGGCAGTGGAAACAGTTGGAGAGTCAAAACTTCCGCTACCACTGGTACCAGCACCCATCTGTGAGGAGTTCACAGCTACAGAAGCATCAGCATTCTCCATACTTCTTGCTTTTGCAGACACCATTCCCAAAATATCGGAGAGGATAGATG